GGAGCCAGCGTAAAGACCTGAGGACAGGTGTAATGTGCTCTGATTTCCTGCTTCTGGTCAGAATCCTGGCTGCAGTGTTCTGGATGACCTGCTACTGTCTTTCTTTTTGGGAAAGCCAGTGATAAGTTCATTACAGTAATCCATCCTGCTGCTGATAAAAGCATGAACAAGTTTCTCTAAGTCCTCTAGATTATTTACTTAAATTTGTACATCTGAGATTTGGTTTAAAACTATTTAAAGCTCAGTTCTCTTTCTGCCTATGGTAAAGTTTTCCTTCTGATCTACTGTTTTCATTCTGATTATACAAATCAAACATAATTTTAAAATTTTCTTCAGTTTTTAAATGCAATATTCTTTGTTAATTAAAAGAGACATGACCACCCTGTTGATGAATTGTCAGATGTAGTGAAGACTACTTTAAATCCACTTGCATTTTTGGACAAACAATTTGATTTGGTTATTGCTTCATTAGTTTTGATGTCTATATTTATTATTAGCTCACCACAAAATTCCTAATGTAGCCTAAAATAACCTAATAACAGACGTGGCTGATGATCTCACTCACAGTACGATTTAATAATATCAATGCGATCTAAAATAGGAGAAGGAAAGAATTAAAATTAGAACATTTTGCTATTATCAGGGTGTGAACTCACGTCAGTGACAGACGGTGTTTTCAATTCACTCCCAGCTCTCGTTTACAGATTCCCTTTACAGGAAAACGCAGTGTTCTAGAAAATATGTATGACTTATGCAATAGTGTACAGAATGATTTTTGTTTCCATTAATGATGTAACGATGACAAATGAGAATGTCCCTTTCAGTAAAACCACAGTTGAAGACTATAGATTCTGTGAGACTAAAGACATGTAGATTCTGTGAGAATGATATAGAGAGACAGTTTATCTTTTTGTCTAGTGTATTTGTGAGTTTTTCTTATGATTTTATAACACAAATCAACCGACTGGTTGAGTTTATTTGCATTTTGTTATTAGACACTTTTTATATTTGTTTTTATTAGTTTTAAATTAAGTGACGTGCATCTTCTTTTACATAGCTAAAATAAAACAATACGTCTTGAGCTTATTAGCCATTTAGGCTTACAAATATCAAGCAGTATCCCAAAAATCCCCAAAAAATAATACAATAATCTTCGGTGGATCAAATAGAATTTAGAGTAAAAATTTGATCAAATTTAAACATCTTTAAAAATAGTAGTAAGCAAAAAAATTGCTGCTCTGAAATAAATATACACTATTTGACTAATGTTTTAGGAACAACAAATATTAACTTGACCTCTAGATGATCATTTGGTATTAGAAGTGGCTTATATGAAAGGCAAAGGCCTCTAGATTACGCTCATTTTACCAAAATAAAACATGATCATGCCTTGATTTTTAATAATTAAATTAGGACACTAAGGTCTGACTTTGCTTAAACAAAAGTCTTGTCACTGAACAGAAATAATGTACAGTATAGAATATAAAGTCATGCTGCAGTGGAAAAAGAATGAATATTGCGTAAGACTCCCATGAGCTTGGAGGACTACATCCATACATCTCTGCAATGACTCAAATAACTTATTAATAAAGTCATCTGGAATGGAAAAGAAAGCGTTCTTGCAGGGACTACTAGAGCTCAACAAGATTCCAAAAAAACTCAATAATGTTCAGATCTTGTGACTGGGCTGGCCAATCCTTGAGCACCTTGACCTTAGGAGCTTTGATGTGGAGGCTGAAGTATGAGAAGACAAAGTAAACTAAAGCCCTGTGCTTTACTAAAAAGATTAAAGCTTTTAAATCTAGGTTTGAACTGCAAGAGTGTGTCTGAGCCTTGGACATTATCAGGAAGGCTATTGCAGAGTTTAGGAGCCATGAATGAGAAGGCCCGGCCTCCTTTAGTAGACTTTGCTATTCTGGGTACTACTAGAAGCCTTGAGTTTAAATCTTAAAGAGCGAGTTGGTTTGTAGCAAGACAGGAGGTTGGTAAGATAAACAGGAGCTAGATTATTACATTTTTAAAAAAAGCAATATTTTATAATCAATACAGAGCTTTTAAATTACACTGAGCATGTGTGTATAGTGAATGTATATACACGTAAAAAACACAACTTTAATAAATGACAAGTGTTTTCAAAAGTTATTTATTGAACAAGCAGCACTGTTACAAACATGTATACGATTCCTTTGACACTGTATAAAATGTACCAAAAATTACTTCAGATAAACCATCTGTCTGCAAAAAGCAAGAAAAAAAATACTTAGAATCATTGATGATATGTACAAACATCCCTTTTGCACACCAGTAACCTTGGTCTTAGCAGATCTGCTGATATTGTAGAAATGAGATGAAACAAACATGAAAATAGCTCCTTAATGGCACTAGAAATCCACTAACAATTCATTTTAGTAACACATGGTGTCTTTAAACCATGATCTCAAAAATCACTTTCACTATTAGTTTTATGCTGCATTTGTGCACACCAGTAACCTTGAACTTTTCTGATTTGCTGATATTATAGAAATGAGATCAAACAAATGTATGAAAATGGCTCCTTAATGGCACTGGAAATCGTTTTTGTTAATACATGGTGTCCTTAAACCATGATCTCAAAAATCACTTTCATTATTAGTTTTATGCTGCATTTGTGCCTTGAAAAATAGAGCGACTATATCAAAAAAAAAAAAAAAAAAAAAAACATCAGTGTTAGCAAAGTGACTATAATTATTAGTATAATATCAACCCAGGCTCATTCTGAAAACGTAGCGCTATATACATTTCTAGAGAGCGGCAAATACGCCACAGAAGGTACGTTTTTTATGCAGTTTTTGTTTTCGCAAATCCATCAAAGGCCGCTGTGGAAGCTTTTTGAGGTCTCAAATTGTCGTCGCGAGTGGCATTTGTGGATGCTGTTTTCGCGTAAATCCACCAGAGGCCACTTTGTACGCTTTTTGAGATTTCTTCACGAGTGGCATTCATGCCTGCTATTCTTGCATAAATCCACCAGAGGCCCGCTAGATACGCTTTATGAGATCTCAGATTTCTTCCACGAGTGGCATTCGCGCCTGCCGTTCTCACGTAGATCCATCAGAGGCCGATGTGTACGCTTTGAGATCTCAAACTTTTTACACGAGAGCCATTCATGCCTGCTGTTCTCGCGTACATCCACCAGAAGCCGCTGTTTCCCTTTTTAGATCTCAATTTTTTTTTGCGAGCGCCATTCACGCCTGCTGTTCTGGTGTAAATACACCAGGGGCTGCTGTTTATTCTTTTTGAGATCTCAAATTTGTATTGCAAGTGGCATTCGCGCCTGCTGTTCTCGCATAAATCCACCAGGGTCCGCCGTGTATGCTTTTTGAGATCTGACATTCCTCTTGTGAGTGGCATTTGCTCCGGCTGTTCTCACGTAAATTCACCAGAGGCCGATGTGTTTGCTTTTTGGGATCTCAAATTTTTTACGTGAGAGCCATTCGCGCCTGCTGTTCCCTTGTGAATACACCAGAGGCCGCTGTCAACTGACTGACTGACAGATCGACTGACCCACCCTCCTCCTTCCGGAAACCCAACCAATAGTTTTAAAAAGCAATCCACTAAAAGAAAGGCCCTCACCTGATTTTTATCATGTTTTTAGATCTTATCACATTTTCACCCGGTTACTTATTTGTTTATTACATTTTTTGGCTTCTGCTTTTCTCTTACCAGTTTTATGAAATCATTCTTCTCTGGACTTTAAGCCGGTTGTCGTGGTTAACTCCTCTATAGGTCTCTGCCGCTGTACAAGGCAAGCTAACTGGACAAACTGTTACCAGCAGAAAAGCTATTCATATGAAGGTAAGCGGTGGTAAGTGCGAAATTTTCAGAATGAGCCTGTGTTGTATAATATTCTGTATAATGCTAGTGTTTATGTTTTAGCAGTTCAACCAAAAAACATTGACCTTATCTGTAACAGCGATAAAATATATTTCTGCATTTATTAGTGATTGTGCTTACGAAATACAACCAGCAACTTTTCAATATAATTTTAAATGATATTTTTGGGGTTTCTCACCAATCAAGAGGTTAAATAATGATTGTTTCAGAGCACTTTTCCTCAATTTGTGCATTCATTTGTGCTTTGTAGTGAATAACAAAATGAGACTTTAAGGCCACACTGGATCTGGGCATGTTTTTGCATCAAGCAAAAAGGCAGAAGTGACAAAGCAAGTGTCAGAATCAACGCTTTCATTTGTCAGACGGTTGCGCAAGAAAAATGTTCTTAATCAACCTGTGGATCAATTGACGAACGTTGCTAGAACTTAAACTTACTCATCCTTCCAACTCTTATCAGTCTGTGAGCAAATGAAAGCAAATCAAGGGACATTGATAAACTTCACAGATTCTTTCGTCTACACGCACTATATATGACTTTAGAGCTGCGAAGCTGTCAAAACAGGATTCTTAAGAAAGGGTGAATCTCACAAAAAAAAAATCCGTCACATTTCCTTAAAAATATATAACAAAATAATAACATTAATGATGATGATAAATATATATATATATATATATATATATATATATATATATATATATAACAGTTCTGTCTGGCTCTCGAATCTGATTGGCTGATAGCTGTGATATATTTAAATAATATCAGCACCCGTACAGCCTCTTTACCCTTTGTGTATTACTCAACTACATACATACATATTTATATACACAATTATGTCGTCAAACAGTTGTATAAACGCAATATCACACAAGTAGCAGTGCGATTTGGCTGTATATCGGCACTGGTGGGGGCACTAAGCACAACGCAACGCCTCCCGCCAGTGCCGATATACAGCCATATCGCACTGCTATTCGTGTGATATTGCTCTCATATATATATATATATATATGTCTAAATTTTGCTTAATTATAACGTTTTAAAGAAATAATAACAAACTAAACGCTGAAATATTCCTTAAATTACAATGGTTTGTATTTTAAAATGATTTTTAAAATGTTATATACTTAAAATTTATAAGTGTGTGTGTGTGTTTATATGGCATTATAACATGGTTATAGGTCATCAATAATTTGTCAAATTGACTTTGTTAAATATTTATTTAATTTTGGGTCAGAATTCCTCTCATTTGACTCTCACCACTTTAATACAGTAATTTTGCACTGTAAAACGAATACTGAAGTGCAATTACTATGATGTTTGTTTTGAGGTAATGTGAAAAAATATTTAAATTTATACTAAAGACTTAATTTCATTTTCTTTATGCAAAACATGACCTTAAACTCCATCCAAATCCATTTATTAAATATAAAATATGATTAGATACATTTTGTGAGATGCACCCCAGTAAGCTATAGGTGTAAACAGCTGCCATTTGGCTTTTAAGCAAACAAAAGTAATCATAACAGCATGACTTTTTCAAAAGTGATCCGACTATGTCTCCATCAGGAACTGTGTTTTTCTAAGTGCAATATTCGGTAACACTTTATTTTGATGGTCCAATTAGTAGACTGTCTGCTTAATATCTGCTGATACTGCTCCTTCAACAAACATTTAACTGACTATAAGAAACTTTGCAGGTGCATGTCATTTACACTAACCCTAACCCCAAGCCCAACCTAACATTCTCCTTATAATATATTGAGAATTAGTAGATGCAATGTAACTTAAATTCAACAAACAGACCATCAAAATAAAGTGACCCAATGTTTTAATGACACCAAATGCTATGACAAATAAAAGTTCCTTTTGTTTGACCTTAAACTGGCTTATTCGAGAAACAAAACCCTGATTTTAGACAACACTGGAAGACATTTTTGTGCAATACTTAGTGTAATGATATCTGCAGGAAACGGAAACTTTCCCGTTATGAATTACAGGACATCAATTTGCGTTTAACTACCCCTGCAATAATGGAATAAAAAACAATAAACTTCTCATTTTAAATCAGAAAAGTGCTTTAAGTATTCAGGCATTAAAACGCCACATCAACATCCTTACAAAAATCAGTCATGTAAATATTTAAATTCTTAGAAATGGGATTTAACCAGCACTGCCTTTCCTTCAAAAACAAAAAGCCAAAAAAAAAAAAAAAAAAGAAAAGAAAAATGAAAAGAAAACGAAAAAAGCCACTGATTTCAGAGTTAAGGCCTTTGAAGCCTCACTCTCGAATGCTGTGACTGAAGCACCTTAGGTTATAGAATAATACTGTGTGTTAGTGGCTCATGTAAGATCTACCATCCATTGTGAAGGTCTTTTTCTGTCCTCAACTGGACATTTCCTTTCTCTGAGTCTGAAGCATCTCCATCACGCTCGTAATGTCTTCTTCTGGCACCTGAGAACAAAAAGGTTCAGGTCTATCAATTTTCACATAATCAGGTCTGTCAAGTCACATAATGGTTTGTCATTTGATTGAATGAATTAAAGTGCTGGGCGAACGCTATTTCATGCATTCAGAGCTTTGGTGCGCAAGCATGAGTAATGTGCGTATAATTCGATTGTTCGTTCTGATGTGTTCCTCGAACAGTTCGATAATAAAATGAAATGTCCATACCTTTGAAAATAAAATATTCGATTTATTGTCCATTTCATCAAAAGTAAACATCAAAATAAACAAACCATTCTTAACTCTATCACAAACAAAATGTTCGTTTGACCTTCTTTCTAGCCCCCAGTTGAGGTCTGCGCAGGACAAATTTATTATTATTTTTCTGCTCCCGTAAGGTTTAAAAACGCATAAGTTTTGCTATGGTTACGCCTTCAGTCCACACTACCCCAGCGTTTTCAAGCCCTAAAAAAAAAAACGGAGCTTTTTGGAAATGCTGAAAAGGCCATTTTCATTTTAAAAAGTTGCTGCTCCGTGTCAGTGTGAATGGGGGAAAATGGAGACGTGTCTGCAGACATTACGCCTGTTTCACACCGCAAGCGTCAGCGGCGCGTGAGCAGAGCGTGAGCAGTGCGTGTGTTTTCGGCGTCCATGTTAACAGATTAGAGCTTTCATACCGCACGCAGCAGCAGCGCGTCAGTGCGAGGCGTGAGCGTCGCCGAAGCAGCAGTGCAGCGATAGTTTCGGCGCTGGGTCTATTTTTGACGCGCTGCTCACGCTCAATTAAAGTGACAGTGCATTGAGAATGACCAAAACACATTGAATGACAGTAAAAACTAGCAATTTTACCCAATAAATGCATTAATAATGTCAAATGGTTTATATATAGTCATTCAAATGAACTTAAAACGATTAAAAACGGCAACAAACATTTATTTAGGCCCGAACTACAAAACCAAATGTAAAACTATTTTACTATCAGTTTTGCTTAAGTTGCACACTAGTGTTGTAGAAGAGGGGAAATGGAATATTTACGGGATTTGTAGTCCATAGCGAAGTGTATTGTAGGTAGTGTAGTTCGACACGCATGCTGGATTATGTGAGCTCGCTGTGTTCTGTGCAGCTGAGCAGAGGAAGAAAGTTTTAATCGGCTTTGTTTTATGTTCACTCGAATTATTCCTACCGGGAGCTGTTTGCACTGTGAATAAACTGTTATTCTGAACAAACTGTTATTCTGCCGCTGGACATCACTGAAGCGGAGAAAGTAATACTAGTTTGATCATGTATAAATATCATTATAACTATATTGTATAAATATTATTATAACTAGGTCTACAGCAACCTGATAATCAAAAAACAAATGACATGAAATCACAGGCGATTGTCCTCTGACTGTAGACACTTCTCATATAAGTTAGCTTGAGAAGCATACAGTACTATTTGATCTATAAAATTTGTAAAATAAACATTTGCAGGTTAAAGAAACAGCATAGGAGGGGCCTTGGTGCAGATGAAAAGTTTAAAAAGTGTATTTGTATATAGAGAGACATGGATAACTAGATAAAATAGACAGAGATAGGTTGATCTCTGCAGCAGCTGCCGAAGAGCTGCGCGCTGCAGACGCAGCTGGTGTGAAAGGCAAATGCCTGCGTGCTGCTACTGCTCGACATACGCGCTGCTCACGCTCTGCTCACGCGCCGCTGACGCTTGCGGTGTGAAACCGGCGTTAGCCTATCTGATTGGGTTTTTTCTCAATATTAAATACACAAAGTTCAGTCTTACGCCCTTTCCTTAAGTTCAGACAGCGCAAGTTTGATAAGGAAAACAAACTCCAGAGGACACATCAGGTAAAAACAGTATAATATAGAACCTCATTCGCATCACCCTGGCTACATTGTGTCACTTTCTTAACAATAAAATGAAAACATGATATAAGGAACTGTCTGTTTTCATATTGATATTAACTTAGCAGACACTAAAAATGTTGAAGCGTCGTGTAGCAACAGTATAGATCCTTAAAGAACCTGCGCAGCTCTTACCTGGGGAACTGTGCTCAAAGCACACGCTGACTGCCTGGAGCTCAGACGTGCTCATACAGCAAGATGCAGAACATACCACAGTGTGTGCGGTCACGTGATGTGCGTTTTCACATAGTGTAGACTGATATCTTTTCAGAAACGCTAGGTGATATGTCAGTGTGGACGTGTATCATTTTCATTCTAAAACAATTTCATTATATTCAGTCTGTTCACCCTCTGCCAGCTTAGAATAATTTTCTACCAGACCTAACCGTTCCCAATAAATTTATCTGGTTTCCAAAATCTCATGTTCAAATTGGGTACTACCAAAAGAAAGAGATAACAGATAAAACTGTAGGTTGTGCAAGGCCCCTATGTGACTGCCAAAGGGTAAAACTTTGAGGCATCACCACATCGTGCAAAGGGTATTTTTGTTTCCATTTGAGTCTATGACTCATGAAAAAGACTCCCATACATGCCTGATGTGGGTTTCCAAACAGTAAACTGACCATTTTCTAATGCAAGTCGAATGACAGAAATTGATTGCAAGTTGAAGGACAGTTGATAAAGCCCGCTCTGATCACCGTTATGCAGATGATGCGCGCACAGACTGTGTGGGGGAAAAAAAGCATGTGCAGAAAGCACTGGTCATGCGTTCATCATGTGTAACAGTCGGGAGCACTGGCTGTACCGGTGCTCAATAAGAATGAGGAAATCACTGATATGCTGTTCAGAAATAAGGTTGGGACTCGAGAACGCTATATTGTTAGCCCTCCCGCTCCCATTTAAATGACAGAGTTACTGACTGCTACCGCATTTTATATGGAACGCAGACCTCTACCATCCAGGTCATCGCTAGAAGAGCATAAATACATTATACACCATCAAGTGGTGTAAATGAAAAATACAACAAAAAAGGCTCCTACAGCTAAAATAAAAAATAATAATAATAATGGACTTTTGCAAAAATCTTACTTTTTGGGTGGTAAAATGTTTTGTGCTTTATTTTCCCAAGCCTGGCTCTTGGTAATGCAAACAAATGTGGTGAAAATGCTTTATGGGCACTCCTCCTGAAAAAGTGTGCGTATGACCAGCATGAGAGCGAGACCCCGCAAAAGTGCTTGCCGAGGACAAGTTTTTAACATCATATACTGTATACCTGGTAAAGGGAAGAAAAATCAATTAAAGGAAAAAAAGAAAATGTGAAAAAAAAAAAAAAAACTGGGTTGTTTCTGTTAGGCTCCAAATGCTACAAATCTCTTTTTACAAATTACTTTTATTTTTTCAAGCTTTGATCTTTGACAAGAACGTCACTGGTTTTTCACTGGTTCGACAGCAGTCATTGTAGGAGGGCAGATTTGAATTTAGAAGCTGATTAAAGATCTACTAAACGTTCCATTTACAATAGTGTGACCGTAATCTCCAGGGACCAGCCTGGACTGATCAGACTTCTGCGATTGAATACATCAAAGAGTTACGACTTGTTCCATCGATTAATTTACAGCGATAACACAGGATGGAGTCAATCTCTGAGCGGAAGCTGCCACAATTGCGCAATGTTGACTTGCACAATATTGACACCCATGGGCGCTCAATTTCTTTTTCAGAGAAAATCGAAAATCTATATACAGTTTAATTCAGAATTATTAGCCCCCTTGTTTATTTTTTCCCCCCAACGGAGAGCAAATTTTTTCAAAACATTTCTAAACATAATAATTTTAATAATTAATTTCTAATGACTGATTTATTTTATCTTTGCTGTCATGACAGTACACAATATTTTACCAGATATTTTTCAAGACACTTCTATACAGCTTAAAGTGACATTTAAAGGCTTAACTAGGTTAATTAGGTTAACTAGGCAGGTTAGGGTAATTAGGCAAGTTATTGTATAACGATGGTTTGTTCTTTAGACTATCGAAAGAAAATAGCTTAAAGGGGCTAATAATTTTGACCTTAAAATGGATCTTTAAAAATTTAAAATAGCTTTTATTTTATCCGAAATAAAATTAATAAGACTTTCTCCAGAAGAAAAAATATTATCAGACCTACTGTGAAAATTTCCTTGCTCTGTTAAACACTATTTTGGAAATATTTAAAAAAGAAAAAAAATCCAAATCCAAGGGGGGCTAATAATTCTGACTTACTGTATATATTTTGAAAGTATTTTAAACAAACTAAAGCATTTTCAGAGATAGGTGGATGCAGTACTAATCCAAGATTAATATGAGATTGGTGAAAGTGAACACAATAAATCTATAAATCATTAACCTTGACATCAAAATCAGTTTTTATACATTTTCGAATATTATCTTTCATGCAGTGTGTAATATAGTTGTTAGTAAAAGTAAAAGGACTGCAAACTTTCAAGAAATAAAGTGCATGACAAATAAAGTTATTGCAAATTGATGCTCAAAAAAAACAGTCTTTATGAGGATACTTGCATTTTTACAACAAATAAAATGATAGCAGGAATGCAAAATACAAATTACATTTACTAGAACTAGAGATGCATCAGTTGACCAGCCAGGTTTGTTTTTGTTCCCGATTAATCGCTGGCATCCCTATGTGACACAGAATCACAAGCATGATTATGTCCCTTTCAAATATGCAGTGCATGTGAAGGGTGTCACATGCTGTCAGCTGAACACACGCGCCGGTATGAAGCTTTTTTTTTGCAGGATGGGAGTAGACAGACATGTCTCATGAGCTGATTCATGAGTATGACATGATGCATGTTTGAATGCATGGAACATTTCATTTTTCATATTCCTGTGGTGTCAAGCAGCTTTTTCAACTTGCTGCCTTTATTATGTATTTAATGGGGGCCTATTATGCCCCCCTTTTTACAAGATGTAAAATAAGTCTTTGGTGTCCCTAGAGAGTGTATATGAAGTTTGAGCTCAAAATACCACACAAATATTTTTTTTTATAACAATAACATAATACAAAAGTCTTGTCATCGATCCCAGTTGTACGAGCAGCAAATAATAACTTGACTTCTAGTTGATCATTTGGAAAAGTGGAAGCAGATTTTTCTGATCAATCATCTGTTGATCTGCAACCCAATCATCACAAATACTATAGAAGACCTATTGGAGGCTGTATGGACCTTCAAAGTTTGGTGAAGAAAAAAATCATGGTTTGGGGTTACATTCAGTTTGGGGGTGTGCGAGAGGTCTAAAGAGTGGATGGCAACATCAACAGCCTGAGGTATCAAGACATGTGCTGCCCATTACATTACAAATCACAGGAGAGGGGAAATTCTTCAGCAGGATAGCGCTCCTTTTCATACTTCAGCCCACATCAAAGATCCTGAAAGCAAAGAATGTCAAGGTATTCCAGGATTGGCCAGCCCAGTCACCAGACATAAACATTATTGAGTTTGTCTCGGGTAAGAAGGAGGAGGCATTGAAAATGAATCCAAGGAATCTTGATGAACTCTGGGAGTCCTGCAAGAACGCTTTCTTTGCCATTCCAGATGACTTTATTAGTAAGTTATTTGAGTCACTGCAGAGATGTGTGGAAGCTAGGGATGTAACGGTATCAGAATGTCACGGTATGATAATACTTCGGTATGAATGGCACGGTATGGTATTTATTGAATAATTTACAGGAAAAACTAAACTAATGAAAAGACTTGAAAAAAGTGCCAAAAGTGTTTATTTACCTTAGCACTGAACATCAATGACATACAAATTAGCCATCTATCTGTAAATTTCGAAACAGGAACTTCAATTTTTCAATTTTAATATCAAAAAACTATTAAACCATATATAAAAAATAAAGTTTCAATTTAGTATTGTTGAAAACTCATCACATTCAACATTTAATCACTCACTCACTTAGACAGAGATGGGTTTTTTATATTCTATACTGAACAATATTTCTGTTAAGTGTCAAAGCTTTTCTCTAAGCAAAGTCAGACCTTACTGTACTAATTAAAGAATTCAAAATCAAGGTATGATCATGTTTTATTTTGGTAAAATAAGCGTAATCTAGAGGCCTTTGCCCTTCATATAAGCTACTTCTGATACCAAATGATCAACTAGAAGTCAAGTTATTATTTGTTGTTCCTAAAACTTAAATAGGCGACAGGACTTTTGTCAGGTAGTGTGTAACAAGTGAATTTGTTTGCTGTTTTGGCTACACTGACCAGCCCTAGAGAGATGTTGTAATAGAGCATAATTCAGTATTACTCAAAGAGCGTTTATGACCTAGGTTAACAAACTAATAGGGAACCACATACAGTTTTTGCTAAAACACAAGTGGTTTCTGGGAAAAGAGAAAAACATGGATAGTAGATCATCAGATGTCACATGAAAAATAAGTCATAAATGTAAAAAAAAGAAAAAAAAGAAAAAAAAGAAAAAAAAAAGACATGTACAGACATCAGAGTCAGATCAGACCATCAGTCCTCCCTTTGTTTACTCATACATGCATGTACCAATAATAATAATAATAATAATAATAATAATAATAAACAAAGTAAACGCTCTGGTCATGTGACAATTTGCACTAACCATGACACATCTGTGCATATTTAATTGAGACCCTTTTTTTTCGATATCTGAAGAAAACACACCAGTTTTAGAGCTTTTTATAGAGCTAAATCAAAAACTTTTTTACAGTCAATATTGAGACCAATGCGGTTAAATGGGTTCATAAATAAACCCAAACAGGGTGATCAGAATCTTTAATTAACTTAGAGCACTAACAACATGTATTTATTTTACATTATACTGGCCACTCTGATCTGTCATTGAAAAACCAAATGAATTGACATGTAGACAAGGTAAAAATAACCATAGAATTACTAATATATAAAGTAGTAAGACTTACCAGAGCATGATCGAAGCTGAAGGTGCTAATATAATACGCTGATATATCACTGTCAGCAAGAGGCTGCGAGATCTGAGCAACTATTCCACATTCATCTGGAAAAGGAGACACAGAGAGTCAATAACTGAGATCAATCTGGCTTTCTGATTTAATATGTAGTGTCTGTTCATCAGTCACTCGGATAAACAGATTTCTCTGCTGTCTGGATTAGTAACTGGATTGGACATTTATCCATTTATAGCACGGAGAGAAAATGTAAACTTGGCACATAAACGTTGGCTATCTTGGTAAGGACTAGAACCAGTGGCGCTCTTGCTGTGAGGCAACAGTGCTAACCACTGGGCCACCGTGCCACCCATGTAGGAAAGGAGGAGTAGGGGATTCTTCAAAATGAAGATGGCTGTTATTAGGAACTTAGGGTATTTACAGTGGCTTAGGGATCGTCTGATTGGTGGATCATAAATTGAATAATGCAGGGCCGGCTGAAAGCAATCATGAGCATGTGATCCTCTCGAAATTAGTTTATAAATAAACTTCACGAAGAGTAGCATTAGATATGGAGTGTAAACGCTGAAGATATTTTTATTATATTGCTCTCTTTTATTTGGCACTACTTGAAATTCTCTTTCCCCTTTAATAACACACATTAAATGATTTATTTTTCTTTTGTGAAATTTTTACTTATACATAATATTTTTGCTGCTTGACTTCTTTTCACTTTTGTAAATAAATTTACTTGGTTTGTAGTGAATTGGTGACTAAGTAGCAAAACGACAACCAAATAATGGAGAAATGAGTCGTATAAAAATTTGACCTCTTTAACCCCTAGAGCTAAACTTTAAAGTCATAACAGTAAGGTAGAAGTTGGGTTTAGGGCAGGATTAGAGATGCAGAATAATATCATACTTTATAACTACTAATAAAAAAAGTTCATATCTTAACAATAGGCTGGTAATAAGCCAGTAGTTAATAGCACGAATTGTGACCCAAACTAAAAGTGTTACCAAACAAATTATTAGAAGAGAATTCAATCACAATTAAAAACAAAAATTCTGCATTGCAAATATGTTTTTTTTATTCAGTTCATGACGCATGTATTTGCAATGCATTACAGGATTGCTGTAGGATACCCGTGTTTAATTTAATGACAGGAAATGAACTCTTACTGCTTCGGAACAAGTGCAGGATGAGTAAATAATGACAAGTCTTTAATTTATGGGTGTAAATGTGATTTCTGACCCTGACAGACATCCCAACTGATTCATTTAAAGATCCTGCAAAATATGCATCACCGTTTCCATAAAAACGACTGATTTTGAAAGCTCTTCATAGTCAGCAACTGTGTGTCATCCAAAAAGTGCTCAATATTTGAAACTCAAGCGACTCAGAAATGACTACGAATAGTCCAGGGACTCCTAATCCTTTGTCATTCAAGCCCATTTGACAAAAAAATAAATTTAATCAAAGCCTGCCCTGAGATTCATAGAAGGTACTATGTCAATATTACAAAACTCATTCATAGTCACAGGTCTGTAATGTTGTATAATAAACTCCATGTCTTTTAATAAAAGGGTTTCATTCTGATTCAAAAGTTTTAATGCTGTTCACCTTTTAAAGTTTAACACGATAAAAATGCTAGGTTTCACACAATTTCTTTCATGTTGCCACAACACAAATCAATTAGGTTAGCATTAATTATTAATACAATTATATAATAAAACTATTAACAAATTTAAGCGAATTAAACATAACTAAATTAAGCTGTCCCCAAAAAGCCTTAACAGTTGTGTTGTTTCAACTAATTTTAAATACGTAGTTTGAACAAGCGGCAAGTATCTTTTTTTGAGTGATTAAAGCTTGTATTAATGTTAATAAATATTATATTATGACTTTAAAATGACATTTTGATGCTGCACTATGATTCTTAAAGGAACACTCCACATTTTGTAAAAATATGCTCATTTTACAACTCCCCTAAACAGCTGAGTTTGACCATTTTTTAATCCATTCAGTCGATCTCTGGGTCTGGCAGAAAGCACTTTTAGCTTAGCTTAGCATAAACCATTAAATTGGATTAGACCATTAGCATCTCGCTTAAAATTCAATAATGTTACAATTTATAGCTTTAGTCTTCTGTAGTTATGCATGTATACCACATTTAGTTTTTCTTCTTCAGAAAAGATAAAAATGTCGCATTAAATATAATAATCATTTTTGCTTTATAACAATAACAATAATAATAATAATAATAATAATAATAATAGAAATAGTAATAATTTCGCAATAAACTAAATGTTTTTTTTTTCATTTTTATGACCCCACTAACTTATCTTTTCATCAATTTAGAAACCCTAATTTTGTAAACCATGGCGTAAGATTTCAACGAATTAAATAAACAAGATGTATTTTAATTTCAACTATTAGAAAATAAATACAAAATCTGTACTACAAATAGAATTGTAAAACCTAGAATACAATATTTGAATTACTGTTACTGTGCGTTCACACCAAAGGCAGTGAGAGCATCAAAGTTCACTTTGACCGCCTTAGCCAGACAACATTGTCTGCCTTTTGCTTAGCAGACGAGAGCTTCAAAATTCGGTACACTGATTTCATTTTTTAAGTGGCCGTTGCAGCAACTCAGTTACATTCCTGTGTTTCCCGCATAAAAACATGCTTTTTAGCATGAAAATGTTGATCAAATGAATTTAACAATGGAAGATCAAGTTGTTGCATCTGGAGTGTCTTTGCACCACTTATTCAATGCGTGTCCATGTCTGAAACATTCTAAATACTGTTTTGTACAGTCGTTACAGTTAGCATGAGATTTCTGCATTTTTATAGAAAAAAACAAACAAACACATTAATGCACATCAGGAATTGCCAGTAATTCCTTTTAATGCGTCTCTGTAAGACAATATCGTATATAGTTGGAAATCCAGCGACCCATATAATCAAACCCGTTAGAACAACTGTGGTCAGAACCAAAGTTCACAGGACTGTTTTGTCTCGACTCTTCTCAAGCAGCTCATTACCATAAAGTTGACTTGATCTCAACTCTCCTCGACACCCACACCAACGAACGCACCATGCCACTGCTCGATGTTTATCAACGCCAGCTCCCATTAAAAATGAATATTTGCTTTGACGATCTCGCCATTTTTGGTGTGAACACACAGTTAGCATACTAATAATGAAATTAGAATATTTAATTAAGCAGTTCACAAATATTCAACCGTTTGCCTAAAAATGCTAATTTAATAATACCATTATTTACTCATTCTTCAGAGCATCTTCTTTTTGTGAAAGAACAAAGAAACACACACAGGTTTGGAACAAGTGAAGAATGTCAATGGCTGCTTTTTTCCCTCCCAACATACTTCAGAATACACTGAAAAACTTATTCAAAGATGATTCCTTGGATTTACATTTTTATATTTATATTTTATATATTTATATTTTATATTTATATTTTTTATAAGGTAAGTGATTGTAAACTATTTATTTGGGCTGATTTTAAACAAACGAATTAAGCTGAACATCAATTTAATTTGTTTAAATTCAACCCATATAAATTGTTTGCAACAACTTTGAATTTTTTTTTTTAATGCTTCTTGTTTTGTGTTTGACAAAAGCAGACAAAATCATGAAAATGTACAACCACCAGAGTGAGTGTAAAGTAAACGACAATTTCATTTTTGGGTAAGCTATCCCTTTAAGTGAAACTATTTTTAAATGATGACATATGTTGCCTTTGAATGTAGAACAGAAATAAATGAATAAATAAATAAAAAGAAAAAAACAATGTATCTCACCGAATCCAAGAGGCTGCCCTCCTATTCTCACCATTCTCCAGAGCTCACCAGAGGAGCTGGTGAACAGAAGATCAGCTGGGAATCTGACACACAGACACACACAATTAGGCATGGGACAAAAACCATTTTTAAGGTATACCGTGGATAAGAAAAGTCAAGTTTTTAAAACCGCCAAAAAAATTTTTTAATAACTTTTCTAAGGTATGTGTAAGATTTTTTATCTACATTTTTTAGGACAACATCTCCAGCAGAAAAGATATCCAAAGATGCCATTTTAAAGTGTAAAGAAAGCTGTGTTTTTGAAACAAATAAGAACAGCAGAAGTCAATGATTCATTTTCATTATTCAGCCTGACATGTTTACTGCCCCAAAGTATTTTAAGTGTTTCTCAAAAAAAAAATATATATATATATTGTGTTCAAAAGGGGAAAAAGTTTATAATTTTAACCCAGACATTTAAAAAGAATATGTTTTAGAGCAGTATTCACAATACCGTCAAACCGTGAAACCATTATATTTTTATCCAAGGTTATCATACTGTCAGAATCTTCAACCGAGCCATGCCTACACACAATTATATATTTCTCAGACTGAATAGTGAAACATATAATGCTTTGATAATCTGTTGGTGGCTCTGTGAGGATCATACTGTTTTTTGTCCATTCATTTGTTTGATTTTGTGTGTGTGTGTGTGTGTGTGTGTGTACGTGTGTGCGTTTTAACTACTTATCAGCAGCATTGGCTATATTCTTGGCAACAGTGTTAATAAATGTTTAATAAATATTTTACACAACAGAAGATTTTCTTTAACATCCACTATAGAAAAAATTACAAAAGTACAAATGACAACAAAACTAATAAAAGCCAATACAAGAACTTTCAATTTAGTCAGTCATGCATATTCTAAAATTGCTCCAGAAGACACTTTTTCAAATACAAGTATTAAATCTTAATATATCCATACACATATAATAATGTTTTTTAGTCAAATTATTTTTTATGACCAATTGGTTTCTCTTGTCCAGTCAAGAAATATGAGTGGGCGGGTCTTTGAGTGGTAAATCTTGTTTTTACAACCTGGCTGTGTCTATGTGAAGGTCTTACTGTCTCTGTGCGTCTGTGTCCATCACTAAAGACACATATCCGTCAATCAGAGAGAAAGAGAAGAACTTGATGCACTCCATGTCTTGGTCAACACTGGCGCCCTCTTTAGGACTGCAGAAGAAAAACAGAAAGAAAAAAGACAGATGAAAACAGATTGCACGTACCATGATCTAAACCAGAGATGCCCAAAGTAGGGCCTGTGGGCCAAAGTTGGCCTATTGTAACCTTTTATTTGGCCCACCATGCCATCCCAAGAGAGTGAGAAGGATGTAAAGGATTTGGGTGAATGCCTTTAAAAGAGATCATCATTTTTAATTTGACGAAACCTTTTTTTGTTTGTTTTATTGTTTGATGAATGTATCCGCTTGTTAAGTGATGACGTGTTGGTGACGTATGTATACTGTTTCCGGGTCCAAGCCGCCATTCATCTGAGTGGAGAAATCATTCGTTTATGATCACGTTTTATTCCTATCACACATTAAAAGTTAATTTTATATAAAATCATAGTGTACACAACAATCTCTGGGCTTGCTGCATCACAAATACCAAAAATTTAACAATATATAAAAAAAATTATTACTTTCTGGCCATTGGATATTAGGCATGGACATATATACTGTAATCGTGATTTTCGAAAGCATTAAATCACTTTGTAAACATTTATTATTACCATTTCATGAGTCTCCCCATTCAGTTGAATAAAGCGCTTGGACCCGGAAGCCGCTTCGCGTGACGTCACACTTAACAAGCGGATTGTAAACGTTTCACTTAAATGTTGTAAATAAGTCAGATTTTAAAAAATGTAAATAACGTCACTCGATGGATTATGCAGACGACATCAGTAAGCAAATCAAGCGTAACTCCATTCTGTTATAAATGTAATAGTTTTTACTGTAATAAGTTTATTAAAAATTTAATGCAATAAAAATATGCTGCATTAGTTAATATAAAGCAATGTTTTCTAGCTATTTTTAAATATTATTAAATAAATAAGGAAATTACCTATGGCAACTGCTGAATGTTTACCTTCAGCCCACTGGCCTTAATCAAGTTTGGTTTTTGGCCCTTCATAAGAAAAGTTTGGGCACCCCTGATCAACACACACACACACATTAACTGACTTTGTGGTTTCTTTGAATATGTCTGCATTTATCATTTAAAATAAAAAGTTTTTCATATATTTGTATACCTTTTTAATTTCGGTGTTTCATCTTAGGTCATAGAAAGTAGGTACTCTTTTGTGACCATTTAACCCTCTGGGGTCGAAGACCGCGTATGTGCGTTTTGACCTGTGGTGGCGTCAAACTGCTGAAATGAACTTAAATAACACTTTCAGTTTTGATCGTACAGATAAGATCAATACATCAATTGAATCTGTTATGTGTCTACTTTTTGTTGTGTACACTCACAACAACAACAAACGTCTTTGCTTTTGCAAAATAAGGAAAACAAACAGTGTACGCATTCTGTCTTTTCTCTCTCCGTGATCTGCTTTTAGAAACGCGTCGGTAAAATGCACTAAAACTCCACAAATACAAAACACAAAGAGATGAGAAATGTGCACAAATGTTCTCTGTGTGTTTCGTGGCCTTGTTTCAGTGACTTCAAAATTTTAGTTTTTCACTAACCACGCATAAACGTTTCTTTCTCAAAAACACAAACACATACAAACATGCTGCTTCGGTATTATTGTAGCCCAACTTGTGCTGTTTACAGTGTTATCACACTTTAGCCATTTATATGTTTTTAAGATACTGAAAACAACACAGATGTCAGTGCATGTCAAAACTTCTCCAGAGCCCCAAAACACCCTCAGACCCCAGAGGGTTAAATGAATTCAATAAAATTAAATTTTACACAACAAAAGCAATCAAATGCAGACTACCTCTGTAAGTAGTCAAAAGAGGACAGGATCAAAACATTTTCAGACGCCTTTTCCTTTATTATTCCTTATTCTCTCTCCATTGAAGAAGATATTTTGAAGAAGTTTGGTCCTGTTACTAGAGACTTCTATAGTGTTTGTTTTTCCTACTATACAAGTTAAGAGTTTTCAGCTTTCTTCAAAATATCTTCTTTTGCAATCAAATGCTGAAAAAACTCAAAGTTTTGGGTGAACTACTGTATCACAAAATTTTAAAAGCAGAAAAGTTGTGCAATCACTTTCAATGTATGAAAGTGATTTAATTCAAAAAACCTCTTGCTGGCAGTAAATGACAGCGCTGACTTGCTTTTGTTGCTGCCAAACAATACTCAAAGCAGTGAAAAGATCACCAATGCACGGATCAGCACTTTTCATACCTGTTCGAGTAAAACAGAACGTCTATGAGGGTGGTTGCGATTGCTGGCAGAGTGTCCGGATCCAAACTCATTACGCAAAAATGATTCTCCGGGATCAACACTGGATGAACAGTTGCATGTGGAACTGAATGAACACAAAGACAAACTAGATTTAATATTCACGTTGGAATACTAGCATTTGTTAAGTGTACAAGCTGTTATTAAACCAAGCTGGGGGCAATGAATAGGTGCTTTAGTGCCATGTAGTTACAGGAATTAATAGGAACCATCAGGGCTGGACTGGGACAGAGCGGGCCACTACATTCAATCAAAATGGTCCCTATCTGTACACGCCCTTGAATATGTTTACCAACTCCCATTCTAGAAAAGCACAAAAGCCATATATAGGAAATAGTGAAAGTTGACAAATTAAATGCTTAAAAAATTTTATTTATTATTATAATAAAATTATAATCCACACTGGAAGTCCGTCTTGTGTGCGCCTGTGTGTTTTGAGGGAGCCTACATTAAATAATGAACATAACAAAAACTGCCTGCTGATGCACACAGTTAATGTTGATTACCAAAATAAAGATAAATAATAAAAGCAGTGTCAGACAGAGACCCTTAAAACATATTTAACTCAACAATAAAACATCAAACATAGTTTAAAGACGGTAGTCAATCAAATAAACTTCTTTAAAAAAATGCAACAAATATTTGTTTGGGCCCGAACTACATAACTAAATGTAAACAATAGTACTAGTTTTGCTTAAGTTGCACACTAGTTTTATCATATGTAAATATCATTATAACCATTTTGTATAAATGTTATTGTAACTATAAACCTACATCATGCTTACGATCAAAAACAAAATGTCATGATATCTCATCATCATGCGAATGTCAATAAAGAAAAGAACCAATGGGCTGCAGATTATGTCACATGGGCCGGTCTGTTTGGAATAAGAAACATCTTACTTTTAGATCGTCACAGCATCGCCAATCAATTAGGCAGAAATAAACGTCAGTCTGCTAAGTGTTTTATGGGCCTATGAGATCATAACAAGATGATCAGCCCGGCCCAAAAAGTACGTCGGCTCAGCGGGAAACTGCCCGGTATGCCAGATGGCCAGTTCGCCTCTGGGAACCATCCACCAGTTCTCAAAAAACTTCACCTATTTATCCCTGGCCAACAGCGAATGCTACATTTTTGGGTTCGCTCACTCAAAAATGAAAATGATGTTATTAATTAATCATTAATTACTGCATTCATTCATCTTGAGATTGAAACAACAGATACAGTAAATCTGAGTGCTCTCATGCTCTGTAGACAGAGACGGTTCAGAGGCTTTTTTTTTTTTTTTTTTTTGAGTTAGCTTTTGCAAAACTTATCCAAGCCTGAACAAAAATGCCTTGGCAAAATTTCATGACTTTTCCAGGTTTTTCAGGGCCGTATGAACACTGAATATATATTTTATCCATTTCTCACTGTGGTGAGGGGGCGTGGCCGAGAGCCGTGGGAACGGAGTGAGGCCACCGCGTAAGTGGATACACCTGCGGTGCGCACCTGCCTCGAATCCCACGGAAGGAGCTCTGGACCATAAAAGGAGGAATGATGGCAGAGGAAGCCGAGAGAGGACCGGGCCCGGGCATATTGTTTTACTTTTGCTTTCAGTTTGACGGCAGTCTCCGTAAGGATTTGCCATCCGTTTGTTTTGGTTTAGACGGCAGTCTCCTGCGTCGGTTCTCCGCCTCCTTCTTCCCGGCGGCAAAAGGGCCGTAAACTTCATTACACTCACCCTCTCTGCCGTTCCTCTGCAGACCATTGCAGGAGTCCTGACTGTGAACAGGCACTGATTCTCCTCCCTCCTCTCGGAAAATATTAAACTCTTCCACCAGAGTCTCCACCACCACAGACAGGTCTTTCTCTCGCACCTACAACACAGACATTTCAGTGTGTTAATAAAATACCATTATCATGCTCACACTTTAGTTTAAGATACATTCACATTAACAAACCATTAACTAAGATTTTTAGCTCAGAAACACTCTGATTTGCTGCATATCAATAGTTAGTAAGGTTGAAGTTGTGTTTAGTTATTGGATATGATTAAGGATGTAGAAACAGATCAGTATAAGTACTAATAAACAGCCAATATCTTATTAATAGATACATAATAAGTGAGGGTATTAGTGACAATCTGTACTTAATCTAAAAATGGTGGTAACACTTTAGTTTAAAGGTGCAGTAGGTGATTGTCTTCAGAAACATTATTTGTTGTGCTGGTTTGAAAGTCTCTTCACATTTCAATTGTAATGATTAAAGTTAATGATCTAAAAGTATTTATAAGGGTTTCTGCAGATATCATAATGTCAAATTTAAAACTTTTAAAGACCTTTTCAAGACCATTAAGTATAACATTTATGATCTATATCACAACATCAAAAACACGCACACACATAAAGAGAAATGCAAAAATCACAAAACTAGTGGTAAAATAAATGTATTCAAATTGAACAGTACTAAAGACAGGTTAGATGCATCATTGAACTACAGGAAAATACAAACAAACATCTTAAGGCTGATTTATACTTTCACCAGGCACCACATCACGCAACTTCACTGACTGCGCTTAAAAGGACGAGGCTCTTTAAAACGACAGAGCCGGTCAAAAGAAAACCATGGTAAAGTCAGACAGATAAACAGAGAAGTAAGAAGTTTCCGGAACTATACTTCACATCATTAATATTGTTCAAGATTCTTAAATTAATTTTTTTTCATTATTTTTTATTCATTATTACATTTATTATTTCTTTATTTATTATAATTTTTAAAATCAAAATTTGATTTTAAATTTGAATTTTATTTGATCACTTGCTTTTGTTCATATCTTGGACAGTTTTACCTGTTAAAGTTAAATATTATTGACTACAGAACTTGAGTTGCTCTACAAGTATAAATTTTTATTATGGAAAGAATAAAAGCAACAAAAAAAAGTACACTTTCTAAAAAATACTGATGTTTTATTTTATTTTATTTTGTCCACTCAAGTCACACATTACTGTCTGGTTAGTTTCTGTTGTATACTTATAAGCTAAAAAGGCAATAATGATCCAACATTCCAGACCATTATCACCAATAAAGCCTAGTAAAACAAGGCATCAGTATATTGTAAACCGAAAAATTCTAATATTCTATTCCAGTTATCAAAGAAATAATTCGTTTTTTTAATTATAGTTTTGTAACTATTACTTTTTTTAAATCAAAACTTTAATATATACACCAGTGTAAAACCTATAAATGGTTTAAAAACATATTCTATAATTGTGTACCTGGGTCTAAACTTTTGCCATGACCTCTTTTGGCTTTAAAAAACTCATCCCTTAGGTTTTTCTTAACTTTAACAAAAACTTACTTCCTTTCCCACAGCGGTTGCAGTTTTGTCTGTACAGTCGTACCCATTTGAGACATTTTCATCTCAAATCAAATGCGGCGCCACGTGAACTAGGCTCTATTCTCTATTCTGTGTGCGCCGCCAGCCGCACATCACATCACACATGACATCACATTCGACACACGCACTGAGTTCAATAACGGAAAGCTGATTGGCTATTGCATGTTGGTCTCATTTGTAGTTATACCACAAATTACATTTGGACTAGAGAAATAAAGAACTACAACACCACAAAAACTAAGCAACAACAACAAAAAAGAATTTAAATGATCACTATGCTATTGTGCCAACAAAATTTAAGACTTTTTAAAGGCCTAAAAATTTTGATTTTTAAATTTTAGACTTACTTTAAGGCCCAGCAGAAACCCTGATAAATAAATAAATAAATATATATATATATATATATATATATATATATATATATATATATATATTATATATATATATATATATATATATATATATATATATATATATATATATATATATATTTATTTATTTATTTATCTATTTATTTATTTATTTATTTACTTAGTGATTGTCACTGGTTAAGGCATAATACTTAAATTAAAGAATAAAAAATTAAATATTAAATTAAATATTTTAAATTAAATATTGTTGGGCCGACAAATTCCCATAATTCCGATAAGTAGCCCAAACTTGTCTGTTTTAGAGTCAGAATTACTGGCCTCCCTGAATATTTTTTGCTAAATACATTACTAAACATAATAGTTTTAATAAGTCATTTCTAATAACTGATTTATTTTATCTTTGCCATGATGACAGTAAATAATAATTTTACTAGATATTTTTCAAGACACTTCTATACAGCTTAAAGTGCAAATTAAAGGCTTAACATTGTAAAACAGTGGTTCTGTAGACAATGGGGGAAAATGCTTAAGGGGCTGATATTGACCTTAAATGGTTTTACAAAAATTAAAAACTGCTTTTATTCTAGCTGAAATAAAACAAATAAAACTTTCTCCAGAAGAAAAAAATATTAAGGAAATAGTGTGAAAATTCCTTGCTCTGTTAAACATCATTTGGGAAATATCAGAAAAAAAAGAAGAAGAAATTCACAGGATGGCCAATAATTTTGACTTCAACTGTATATTTTCTTTAAAAGAAAACAGGTTGGAAAACAAGTATCTAAGGAAAATGCATTTTAGATTTTTATACAAATAACGTATTACAATTTTCATTATTAATAAACCATTAAATTAGATTTTTAGCTCAATACACAAGTAACTGTTTGTCTAGTTGCTTATTATTAATTAGTAAGGTAGTAGTTGGGTTTAGGCATTGAGTAGGATTAAGGATATAGAAAAAGATCAGTATAATTATTGTAATAGTACAAATAAACAGCCAATATCTTGACATATAAATAGGCAGGTAATAGGCTAGCAGTTAGTAGTAACAATTTGTAATTAAACTATAAAGTGTAACCATTATTCTTAGACAGCACCACCTGATGAGTTTGTTTTGTATTGCTAATACTTGTTCAAAGAAACCCAGCAAAAATTTAATCTAACTTTGTTGTTGTAGCACCACCTGTGGGTGATTTTTGCGCTTGTGTGTGTTTTTGTTGAGTTTTTTAATATTCCAAAAATATTAGTTGATTATTCTATATTAGTAAACAAATAACTAATCTGTGAAAAACTAATATCTTTTAAGAAATTGAAAGTTGAAAAACGAGTGTTTTGCTTATTATATCAGCTTAAATGCTTTAGAAAACATCACTCACAAAGAACAATCAAGTTTCATTATACATCTACCAACCCTTTAAAAGACACAAAGGATTGTCAAATGGTAAACCATTTACAGCAGCTTGTGTGTTTGATGTGCAAGCATGTTCATGCTGACGTCTGTCTAATACTTAATTCATTAACACAATGTTCTGTGTCTCTGGGTCAAGCGAAGTATCTACCAGGTTTTTTGTATAATCACAGCACAGAGCTTTCCTTTTACTTTAGCACAAGTTATCTAATTTTCAAGTGAAAACTAAAATCAATTAAAGTTAAAATTTAGCTGTAATGTTTTTTCTAAAAAGGTTGATTTTTCCTACAAAAAAAGCTGTAGTATGATGAACATCTTAAGACTGACTATATGTTTGCTGAAATAATTGTTTTATGCAAAAACAGCATTATGTTTCACTTCTTTTGGAAAGTCTACAGTAAAATCAATGTATTTCAAGGAACATGGCTTTACAGTAAGATTTAATGTCTGAATATTAGCAAACTACACGGATTTAACACGATTTATTTTAACATGATAGCATTTTAGTCAATCAATTTTAACATTTACAAACACAAATGTTAGAATCACACTAGGTTAGCATATATAGGAATAGTTCTCCCAAAAATGAAAATGTATGCACCTGTTAATTTAAAATCTTTATGGGTTTCTTTCTTCTGCAAAGTCAAAACAAAATACCAGTTTAATTAATTTATTGGTAACACTTTACAATAAGGGTGCATTAGTTAACATTAGTTAATGCATTAGTTAACATGAACTAACAATGAATAACGCATTTATTAAGCATTAACTAACCTTTGTTAATGTTAACTAAACATTTATTTATGTGTTAGCTAATGCATTAGTAAACATGATCTAACAGTAAATAAGGACTTTCTTCAGCATTACTTAATCTTTGTTAATGTTTATTTACACATTATCTAATGCATCTCTTTACATGAACAGCTTAATTAGTTCATGTTTACTCACTCATACACTAAAGCATTTGTTAATGGATTAGATCACTTGATCTTATAATGAACAACACATTTATAAAGCAATACTGAATCCTTGTTCATGAAAACTTACAATGTTAGTTAACGCGTTAGTTAACATGAACAACATGTTAGCATAATTGGTAAAGCTTTTAATAAGTGCATAGTTCCTGATCAATGCCAGGGACAAAGGAGGACTCTTTTGGAGTGTATTACATCAGAACCTCAGCTTTAACTGTTATTCATGTTTGCTAACACTTTACTAACATGATTTATCATTAACAAAGCATTTATTAATAGAATTATGATCCTTATTGTAAAGTGTACACTATTCCAACATTACCTAATGCTTAAGTAACGTTAATTAACACTTTACTAACATGACTTATCATTAACAAAGCATTTATTAATAGAATTGTGATCCTTATTGTAAAGTGTACACTATTTCAACATTACCTAATGCTTAAGTAGCGTTAATTAACACTTTACTAACCTGATTTATCATTAACAAAGCATTTATTAATAGAATTATGATCCTTATTGTAAAGTGTACACTATTTCAACATTACCTAATGCTTAACTAGCGTTAATTAACACATTACAGGGTTCAACGCTAAGGATTTTTCATACGGGTCCGATCGGGCCATTGGTTGAGATTTTTACTTGCCCAGCCAAAATTTTCACTGGCCCCACCAAAAAAAAACCTAAAAAGTTAATAGCTATTTCTTAGCCACATATTTTAAATAATGGCAAAATTATGCCTGTGAATCTAGAATTTAAACATTTTAAATATGTTAATAAATGTAATGAACAAAATTCAAGATTTTATGCAAATGAAATAGCGGTATGAAAAATGTGCTGGTATTTTAATGCAATTCTGAATAATTTTTATAAAAATGGCTTGCCAAACTGACAACTGTTTTTTTTTGTTTTTTTTCAGTTTCTTAATTTTGTTCCCATGTAATTGTCTGCTTCTAAGACTTTAGAAACAGACCTTTTCTTTTAGCCTCATTGTTTAATTTTGCCGCCATGTTGCTATCTGTACTGGTTGTTACAAGGTTCCAAAAAAAAAAAAAAAAAAACGTGCTGGCCGATAGGGGCCAGTAACAATCCTGTCTACTGTCCCGAGTGTCTTTCACGCTGGCCCCGGGCCACCGGGCAGTCCTTATTGTTGAGCCCTGCATTACTAACATGATTTATCATTAACAAAGCATTTATTAATAGAATTTTGATCCTTATTGTAAAGTGTACACTATTTCAACATTAACTAATGCTTAACTAGCGTTAATTAACACTTTACTAACATGACTTAAGCTAATGAGCTGAGCTAATGTAAACTGAACCTAAACACTGAAAACTTAACTTCACTGTTTTAGTTCAATCTATAATAATCTTCTGCGTGAAGCTGCTTTGACACAATCTACATTGTAAAAGCGATACACAAATAAAGATGAATTGAATTGAACTTCCATAGAACGAAAAACAAATACTAAGGAAGCCGACTGGTGCAGGTTTTTAGCTTTCTTCAAAAACAAAAGTTTCAGAAAAGAAAAACACAAAGGTTTGCTACCACTTAAGAATGAGAAGTTACAATAGTTAAAAAAAAATATATAGTGGTTAAAAACAAATTATTAATTAATTCTCTGTAATCATTTTCTTACTCTTTCTTACTTGTTCCAAAGTTAACATCGACTCAAAAGGCATTATGAGAGAAAAAAAAAATCTAGTTATTTTTTATCTAGCTATACAAATGGTTATAGCTTACAAATGTGTATAGTTAGGGATGGGTATCGTTAAGGTTTTAACAGTATTACTACTTTTATCCATACCACTTATCGGTTCGGTACTTTAATGGTTCTCTCATCGGTACTTTTTGTAGTGTTTTTTAATGAAAAAATAATAATTAAACAGAATTAATTTATTTTATTATTATGTTTTTAATATAAAATAAAACAAAACCAATAATTGTAAAACAAATAAATATTTTTTTCATGTAAAAGAATGTACAATGGTTTGAAGGAAAATGACTCCGTTATTAACCATACTTCTGGAGAAAAATAAGCATGCTTGACTTTTCTGGCAGAAGTCGGGATCTTTCTTGGATGTTTATGATTTTTTGACATTCAGATAAAGGAGTTAAAAGTGTTTTGGGAGTCAACTGTGTTTTTATACAATTTTTGAGCATCTTTCAATATAAAAATAAGCAGTTTTAAATAAGCATTAATAGGATATTTATAGACTATTTGTAAATACAGCTGATGTAAAAGCATTTTTAATGTTTAAGATTTATTTAGGCTACTGCAGAAAAAATACTGTTTTCCTTGTAACCGAATGTGTGCGTTTATTTAACTATTAATATTAAACTGATTTAAGCGATTGACTGCTGGCTTAACAATGTGAATAATGTCATGTTACCGTGAGTAGCTTGGCAGTCAAAACGTTGCATTGCAGTTAATGCACTTTAGAGAGATACTTTCACTTATCCAGATTGCTTGCATTTCCGCCTATACAAAAAAACAACATGTTGCGTTTGTTGCAACCGGCATTGTCGCTGTCCACTCTGGAAATACAACTCATTTGGTTTACTCTGCAAGCTTACAAGCTGTGTGTGCGTGCGAGTCTGTGTCATGAGCTATTTTTGTGCGTTTAGCGAGAGCCTCTGCTGATTGCGCGCGCACAGCCGAGAACTGTGAAGGCTTTTATATTAACGCTCTCGCCGGAAACACAAGCATTTTTCATTTGAGATTGCCAACTGTGCAGATAAATATCATATAGCCCAAATGAAAAAAAGGTTGGTCAGTTAGATTATGCTACAGTAAATAATGTTTATTCAGCAATAATTCTGCAGTACCTACAGCAGAACCGTTAACGTCAGAGTTTATCAATACTTCGGTCCTTCATAATGTAGCACCGATAGCGATAAAGTACAGAGTTTCGATATAGTAGTAAACATGACATTGTTGCTCTCGGGTGAACTACCCTATTTCATTCATAGATAAAAATAGAAATAAATAAAAAATCTGTAATACAACGATTAAAGATGCTGAACAAATAATAATATCTAAAGTCGAAAAGAAATCAAACTTTACTTTTGTAGAGCACATTATTAGTTTTAAGGGGAAAAATTCTGGTCATTTTTAATCAAGATGTGACCATTTGCTTCTGTTCTGGAATAGCAGTCCTTCTTTAATTATGTCAGTTTAATAGACTGAGTGAAATAATGCTTAGCCACGCCCCAACAACCATTAGTTTGCTGAGAGTGAAAGAATCATCATTCATTTATAAGTGATATCACCCCATGGGCTCAGGACTACTTTGACAAACCTGTCAAGTACTACAATACATAGTTACATCCACAAATGCCAGTGAAAACTGTACTGTGCCAAAAGGAAGCCCTATGTTAACGGTGTCCAAAAGCGCCATTGACTTCTTCAAAAAAATTAATTAATTAAAAAAAAAAAAGGAAAGAACGCAAAGGTTTACTACCACTTGAGAATGAGAAAACAGTTACAATAGTTGAAAACATTGTTGAAAATGTATTCACTATCGCTTTAAAACTGTTATTTATCATGAGTAGGGCCAGACGGAATCTGCTGACATTTTTTGCCATTTCTGCTGAGAATTTTGGTTAAAATCTGTGGATTTCTGCGGAATTATTTTGGGAGTATCCAGCGAGTATCATAACTAAAACCTTAATATATGAAATAAAAAGTAATAAATTACTGAATAAAAACTGCATAAATTCAGATTTACACATTCACTCAAGTAAATAAACAGATTTAATGATGTTCTAAAAATTGGCAGAAATCTGCGGAATTCTGCGGAAAATCAGGAGAAAATCTGCGGAATTCTGTGCGCGCAGATTCCGTGTGGGCCTAATCATGAGCAAACTATTCTCAATTCTCTGTAATCATTTGCTTGCTCTTCACTTGTTCCAAAGTTAACATTGAGTTTCTTTTTTTTTTTTTGTTAAACACAAAAGAAGCTATTTAAAGAATGTTGAAAACCTGTAACCATTGACTACTTTAGTATTTTATCTGTCATACTATGATGGCTACTGATTTCTAGCATTATTCAAAATATCTTTTGTGTTCAACAGAAAAAGAAAGCTCAATGTTTTGGAATCACTTCAGGGTAAAAAAAAAAAGTATATTTTCATTACTGTGTGAACTATCCCCTTAAAATGTTACATATCTGAGCATCAGTTTATCTCTTTCTCTCACCAGAATGAAGTCAGTCTGATAGGTGGAGAGCATAAAGACGGACACGTGCTGCTCTGCCAGAGGAGCGATGACGGACTTGGCAATTTTAGTGACGCCCACAGCCTGCGAGCTGCTGGAAGCATTGCCATTCGAGACCACATTGAGCGGGAGCCACGTGGAGCCCTCCACCTGTAAGTGCTCAGACGGGTGCAGCTCTGGAGGAAGAGGAAGACATGAAGAAGGTGGTCAATCACATATACCAATGTAAACTATATATCTTTTATAACCCCAACATTCATTCATTTTCTTTTCGGCTTAGTCTTTTTATTAATCTGGGGTCGCCACAGCGGAATGAACCGCCAATTTATCCAGCATGTTGTTACGCAGCGGAAACAACCCCAACATTTATATGAAAAAAATATTTTTAAAAAACGTGCTACAGATTTGATGTCTCAAATCACTTGAGGAAAGAAACTTTACCAAGTAATAAATCATAGAGATTCTCACAGGGTTTGAATATTACTTTTAGGAGCTTCTGAGAAAAAAATGTCTCTTTTTATAAATCTAAGCACAGCACATGTGCACTTAGGACATGTCTGAATCCATTTTTTTATTTTAAGAATGGGAAAAACCGTCAGCTTGTCCAGTGCATGGTTTAAAGAGATTGTTCTTATTCTACTATGACATAGGAGGAAACAGATCTACAACTGAGCAAACTATTGAAAACACCAAAACCCCCTGAGGTGAACAAGGAGTGGGATGCGGTGACATTTTTATATGTAGATAATAATAATCTTTACATTTGAATCCTTTCATTTTTCCTATTTTAAGAGGTTTGTGTGCTGCTGCACATCCCTATGCATGTAATAAGCATGCGAATATGCATTTTAGACCCACCCACATTTTAAACACAGTTTAAATAGACAAACGAAACTGCACCATTGACTTCAGACCAGCTATTAGTTGGCCAATGGCTCAAAGAATGGCTTAAAAACAGCCATCGACTTCCCTTCTGTGGATGTTAGTGGCTGCCTATTCCCCAAAATTCTTCAGAATATCTTATTTTGTGTTCCAGAAATTCCAAAATGTTAATAACCACTGGAATTTGGGAAAACAATGCTGAATTTTTAAGTTTTTTGGGGTGAACTATCCCTTTAAGCAATATTTGAATGAACAATTATCATAAAAAAAGCACACACACACAAAAAAAAAAAAAAAAAAAAAAAAAAAAAAAAAAAAAAAACACCCACAGACCTGCGGCTTCTAATGATACATTGCGGTCTATGCATGATATCAAGATGGAGATATTGATATTTCCTATGTACAATTTTATCACTTTTTTTTTTTTTACAACCTTCACAAAAGTCTATCACCTTTTATGTGTTGACATATGAGCAGATGCAAACTCCTACATGAGATGGCACTGTTTGTCCAGAGAAGGAGGATGCATATGTCATATTGATCATTAAAAAGGTACTGGTGCTTAAACAGGATGCTGAAACTGATTACAGAGGCTGTAGATCAAAGGTAACAGCATTGTACATAATGTTACACAGCCTGATCAATTCACTTTATAAGACCTCAATGTATTTTGTAAAGCAGAGAGTATTATATTGTTTGGCCTGTACACATTTGATCACTCTCAAAAGGCATTATGTGAGAAAAATCACACATTTTTTTTTATCTAGTTATATTTTTTTACGGAAGAAAAACAAATGTAGTAGTATATGTGTTGTAGTAAAATAACAACATATTTGTTTTGGGGTGAACTATCTGTTTACATTAATAAATATATATCTATATCTTAAAAATAGAAATAAAAATAAATGATTAAAAATGCTGAAAATGCAGATTTGCCATCACATGAACAAATTAATCGTTTCTAAAGTCTGCAAGAAATCCAACTTTACTTTGCTATAGCACATTATTAGTCTTAAAGGGAACTGTTTCGGTCATTTTTAATCAAGATGTGACCATTTGCTTCTGTTCTGGAATAGCAGTCCTTCTTTAATTATGTCAGTTTAATAGACTGAGTGAAATAAGGCTTAGCCACGCCCCAACAACCATCAGTTTGCTGAGAGTGAAAGAATCGTCATTCATTTATAAGTGATATCACCCCATGCGCTCAGGACTACTTTGGCAAACCTTTGTCAAGTACCACAATGCGTGATAGTTACATCCACAAACGCCAATTTAAACTGTACTGTCCCATCCCCTACTATCCAACCATGTACTGTTGCCCGACTGGTTTGCAGGAAGAATGGGACAAATTACCCAAAATGAATTAAGGAATGGCAACATTACAAAGTGGTAAATGCCAAACTGTTCTAACTTTTTAGCTCAACAAAGGCTGTACTTTTTTTAGTCAGCTGTGTAAGTTCAATCTCCCAAAGGAGCTGCTGAAACAGTTCTACACCTCTATCACTGAATCAGTCATCTGCACATCAATAACTGTCTGGTTTAGCTCAGCTACCCAATCAGACCCCCAAAGACTATGTCGAATAGTTCGGACTACTGAGCAAATCATTGCTACAACCCTACCTACTCTCCAGGAGCTGTACTTATTTAGAGAGAGAAGAAGGTCTACCAAAATCACTCTGAGGCAGTGTGCTGGGTGTGAGCTGTCCGTTGAACGGTTACCTTCTGGTCGACACTACAGAGCACTGCGCACCAGAACAGTCCAACACAGAAACAGCTTCTTCCCTCAGGCAATCCATCTCATGAACACTTGAAGATAGTAATTGTGGAACCAACATTTCTACTTGATATACACTTTTTATACACATATACACTCTATTTAACAACACACTTTACATGCCAATTTACACATAACAGCTGCACATATAACGTTGTAAATTGGTAATATACCTGTACATATACTTGTCAATTTGTACATTTACATTCACTACATATATTTATTATTGTTTTTTGTCCTGTTTCTGTAATTCTGTTGCATTGTAGAAGCACTGTCACGAAAACAAAGTCATCGTATGTGTGAACATGCCTGGCAATAAAGCTCTTTCTGATTCGGATTCAGTTATTTTTTTCAAATGTGTTGCACGAAACAAAATTCCAATACGAGCTTATTTTGAAAATAAATAAATAAATAATAATAAAAAATCACGAGAAACACATTAAATAATGTTTGTCTTCAATGAAATACAAGTCAAAGTAAACTTGGAAATAACTACTTTCTTTTTTATTTGCGTTTTCCATATGGTCCCAACTTTTTTTGATTTGGGGTAGCAAAATGTACAACAGAAAAGTGTCATTTCATACTAATACTACTTCGTAACATTGAAAATACAGTAATATCAGCAATCAAATCAATGCAGCCATGGTGATACTGGGGTGCTTTTATGTCCGATTAGGCCAGATTTTTATTAGCCTTAATAAAATTATTTTTATTTATTTTTAATTAGGCTTTCAGCTGGAAAATTAAATGTCGGCTTGCTGAATATAACAAAAAGACTATAGAAGAAACATCCATACTTTCAATTAAACAACAACTCAACATATGTCACCCTGGATTAAAGAACCAGCCTCATGGTATATTTTTGGCAAAACACACTGAAGGTCAAAAATTACAGATTGCTTTTCCTCTATACCAAAATCATTAGAACATGTGATTGGCCAAGGACAGAAAAGAAGTCAAGACAACGAACCCAAGGTTTTTGCAACATTTGTCCTTCCATGGCGGGCGCCACACCAAAATTCATCCTGCCACTGCTACATTACAGCTTCTCATTTAAAACATTCAGTCGTTTTTTTTTTTAATCTCTTTTAAGCTTAAAATCAACAGGTCATGACAAACGCCCCAGCAATCATCTAGTACCCTGTCAAAACAAGTTGTAAACAACAACAGTCTAATAAAATTAGCTCTGCACTTTAAACCACAGAGCCCAACAGGAAGACATCTTTCAAAAGCTGACTCTGTTAACCAATACAGACAGTATAATTATTCACAGAAACACAGCAGGAAGCTGCAAATGTCTGTGTGGGTGTTCCTGTGGCATTCACAGGAGTTCACAAGTTAGCATAGTCATTTTGTAACATATAGGAGGCTTGCAATTGTAAGCAAGTCAAAAACTAGCACTGGGAACTGAACGTCAGCTTACACAATTTGGACATGAACTGTAAACAATGCAGGGTGACATGGTGGCCCAGCGGTTAGCACTGTCGCCTCACAGCAAGAAGGTCACCGTTTCGAGTGCCAGCTGGGCCAGTTGGCATTTCTGTGTGGAGTTCGCATATTCTCCTCATGTTGGCATGGGTTTCCTCCAGGTGCTCCGGTTTTCCTCACAGTCCAAAGACATGTGCTATAGGTGAATTGGATAAACTGAATTGGCTGTATTGTATGTCAATGAGCATGTAAAAATGTTTCCCAGTACTGGGTTGCAGCTGGAAGAGCATCCACTGTGTAAAACATGCTGGATAAGTTGGCAGTTCATCCCGTTGTGGCGACCCCTGATGAATAAAAGGACTAAGCCGGAGGAAAATGAATGAATGACTGTAAACAATGCTGGGTTCCACACAATCAATTTGTGTTGAAACAACATGAATGAATCGTTTTTACAAATTTAAGTTGATTGAACAGAAAACAATTCAGTTGACCCCTAAAAAATTGAATTGTGTTGTTTCAGCTCATATTAGGCAAATAATTTAGACAAACAGCAAACATCATTTTTTGAGTGTGTGTGTGTATGTATGTATGTGTGTGTGTGTGTGTGTGTGTGTGTGTGTGTGTGTATGTATGTATGTATATGTATATATATATATATATATGTGTATATATATATATATATGTGTATATATACATATATATCTCAAAGTGCAATAGAAAACATATTGCTCTTATATCAGAACACCTGCAAATGTGCACTGCATCCAGAACTCTGCTCCTACATGATTGTGCATGAGGATTATGAGACAAGCAAAAGGTCATTGCTATGAATTTGCAGGGGAAACATCTGTTTGGGTCAGAGGTGGAGGACAGAGCTCTTCAATAACAGCCAGCTATAAACTCAGTGTACAATTACACACACACACACACCTGTTCTCTGATTAATGAGAAAGAGTCAATGGAGATTGTTTGGCTTTCCGCATTTTAATGATTTTGTGGATTGGTCTTTTCAGGGCTCAGCGACAACAGGCGGGTTTTTATGTCTGATTAGGCCAGATTTTTATTAGCCTTTTATTTTTATTATGCTTTCAGCCAGAAAAGTGCATCAAACAAAAAGCAAATAAGAAGCATTTTAAAGGGGTGGAGCTTGTCAGATACTAGAGCATGTGATTGGTTATGATTTGATGAGAAACTGAATCAGGTAATCACATTAGGTGATGTGAAGAAAACTGTTGATTAATTTAGGCGAAAGTGACAAACTACATTCTACCATTACAACTACAAAACTACCCTACATGTTGATATCAGTTTGTGAATGTGAATTTTGTCATGGGACATTTGGAGTGCACTCGCTGATAGATCTTAAAAACAAACAATACAAATACTAACACCCAAAAACAAAACTTTTTTAATTTCATGGGACCTTCAAGGCACTTTTCACCAAGTGGTGGAGGGAAGTTTGGTACGGCTTAATTTGGGGGCCTTTTCACTGCATGTGAACCAAGTAGCTTTTTAGTACCACCTTGGGAGAGAATCCATGTAAACCTTACCATGGTCACATTTCCGGGTTTCTCAGAAGTGAAAGTCGTCATAGTTGGGTAAACTTGGAGTGATTGCGAATGGAAGAGAATAACAATTTTTTTTTTTTTTTATTAAATCATATTTGTTGAAATAATTACAGAAAAACTCCACGATGGTGGTATCAATACTTTTAGAAAAAGGATAGTAAAAAAAAATAGCATGAGACTGATAACGGCAGGCAGATGAGAGAAAAAGGTTTTCAGCTTTCTTCAAAATATCTTCTTTTGTTTTCAACAGAAGAAGGAAACTCCAGTGTGAGAACATTACGATAATTTTTAGGCTGAACTATCTCTTTAAGAAGGGATAGCTAGCCAGCAACTAGCTCTCTGCAACTCTCACATGGTCGCTCACTGAAGCTAAGCAGGGCTGCGCCTGGTTAGTACCTGGATGGGAGACCACATGGGAAAGCTAGGTTGCTGTTGGAAGTGGTGTTAATGAGGCCAGCAGGGGGCTCTTAAACTGCGGTCTGTGTGGGTCCTAACGTCCAAGTATTTGATGGGGAGTCTATACTGCTCAGTGAGCGCCGTCTTTCAGGTAAAAAAAAAAAAAATCCCTGGAGTAGGGGTTTAACCCCGGCATACTGGCCTCTGTCCATCATGGCCACCTAACCACCCCATATCATAATTTACTTCATCACTCTGTCTCCTCTGGCGCAATAGGGCTGCTGTCGCGTCATCCAGGTGGATGCTGCACAATGGTGGTGGATGAGGAGATTCCCCCCAATGTGTAAAGCGCTTTGAGTGTCCAGAAAAACGCTATAAAAATGTAAGAAATTATCATTCTTATTTCATTTATTCATTTTCTTTTCAGCTTAGTCCCTTTTTTAAATAGGGGTCCCCACAGCAGGACGAACCACCGACGTATCCAGCATATGTTTTACGCAGCGGACTCAGATACAACTCAAACACTATGGCCATTTTAGTTAATTCAATTTACCTTTAGCACATGTCTTTGGACTGCGGGGGAAACTGGAGCACCTGGAGGAAACCCATGCCAACACAGGGAGAACATGCAAACTCCACACAGAAATGCCAACTGACCCAGCCGGGGCTCGAACCAGCAACCTTCTTGCTTAGAGGTGATAATGCTACACACTGTGCCACCGTGACGCCCTATTATTATTATTAATATTATTAACCTCCTAGGGCTTCAGTTGCCACATACAGTATGTGAACAGCACATCTTAGCTCTTAAGTGGCGATTTAAAATACTTTAAATGTTTTATATTTTGTTACAGACATACAGTGTCATCCTGCAACTGTTTTGCAGCATATGAAATGTCCCAAACACTATTTTAACCGTTCAAAACGGGAAAAAATGTTTGTTTTTAATCTCTGATAGTCAAAACATGTTAAAAAATGTATGTTATATATGCATTAAAAAAACAGTCAGGAAAAAGTGTTTTATGTAAATTTGGAGCTTGAGCCCCATATGTGGACATGATTTTTCTCAAAAAGTACATCTTATTAAAAGATGATACTTTGGTTTTACTCTAATTGGGTTTCAATACCCCCAAATAGTAAAGAGAAATAAAAAATGCATGTAAAAACGCCTTGGGCCATAGGAGGTTAAGTAAACATTCCCCAGAATTAATCAACACAACACATTAAAAATTGAATTCTCAGTGCATTTCCCTGGCTGTATGTTGTCATCTATTGAACATAAGAGCCTTAGAGGAGCAATTTGTGTGTGTGTGTGTGTGAGAGAGAGAGTGTGTGTGTGTGTGTTTGTGTTTTACCTTTAAATCCCTCCTCGTCGAGGACAACAGTGTAATTTTCAGGAGTCTCTGTGAGACTGAAAAATTTGCATCTGTGAGAGAAAGCACAGGAGAGAGAAAAAATGAATAAAGTGAGGGAGAAAGAAACAAAACCAAACAGACAGATCAGACGTTGCATAATGGACACAAACAATGGCAGATTGTTGTGAAGAGTGTTCCAGCGGGGAGGCGTGGGATAAAGAGAGAAAAACCACATCAAACCCCTTTGCCTTGCGCCAAAAAGTGAAAGCCGTTTTTTTTCTTGTGCTTGAACTTGAAGTCAACATCTGAAATCCATTCATACAGTTCTGCATTCGGCTTTAAGGTGAAGTGGTTTGTTGTGGTTGATAAATTGGAGTTAAAACGAGAATTTAAGATATAGTGTGTGAATTGGTTTCTTAATGACAGGGTTTGACCCAAATTCTTTAGGGGCTGATCCAGGAACCCAGAACAACATGCTCCACTTCATTCAGTCTGATCTATTGTCTAAGAGCCACAGGACTGAGAATCAGAGGCAAACGGGAATCATGGGAAAAAGACTGCTTTGTGCGAATGAATAGCAGGATGAGTGTTGACTGAAACCAAAGATGATGTCCAGTAATATAGGAGTTTAGTATGTCGTATATCTAAACTTTGCACGTCACCAGAACCACATGATTGCAAGCAACAGGAACAAGTACATAGAAATGTCCTGCTGGCCTGTTATTGGAGTAAACTTTGCTTTATTGGTGAGAACGTTTTCATGCATAGAAAAGCATACATGTACATGAGAGGACTATTCACAGAGAGGAATATTAAGCAATATTTATTTATATTTTTGGCTGTTTTTCTCTATTGGCAGCGGAACATTTGGTGCATCTCTAAAAGAAAAAATCATCTGCCACAATTGAGAGAATAGATTTCATGTGTGATGTATTTGAAAATCTTGTATATGTAGTATAGATGTGGATTTTATCATTGCATTGAATCTAAAACATGCAGGTCATTTTTATTATCATAATATGCTGTTAATGGTTGTTTTTGTGTGGTAGTGAAAATACGTTGTTTTTGTGTCTCTTTAAAATTGTAAATTAAATGCAAATGAGCTGCAACTCTAAACATATTTTCCAGTAGAAGGCAGAGCCATTACAGCCTGTCTTAGATATTGTCTGGATATATTTGAGTGTTAATGTATCCGTATATATTAGGCCTGTCATAAGTCATTTTTGTTGTGCGATATAGTGTCATAGAAATTATTGCGATAAGTGATATTATTGTCATTTTGAGACATTTTAAGAATTGATTGTACAACAGGATTTACATGGGCATTAACACATTCAAGGGACAAAAAAAAACATGTAAAAGGCTTTTTTGGCTTTAATGCTATTCATGAATTATAACCGTTCTGGAGATGCAGATTTGCAGTTTAATTTGACACCTTTTAAAAACAGGTAGTAGTTTTTTTTTTCAGAAAATTGTGAAAAAATTCACCTTTTCTTGACATGTTAATAAAAAAAAGTTCCCTGAACTCCCCGACACCTCCAATGGAGATTAGATGAGACAACAGAAACTGTGTAATCTGCTCACATTTTAAAGACTTTTTATATGTAAACATGATGGATGATATACAGTATCTTGAGTAATTATGTCCATGTACAAGCCATATATATATATATATATATATATATATATATATATATATATATATATATAGAACTGATCTATAATATATAATAATATATAGTACTGATATTGCAGAATATCGCACGCCTATCAGCCAATCAGATCTGAGAACCAGACAGAACTGTTGTATAAAAAATATATGCCATAGCACGCCTCCCACCAGTGCCGATATACAGCCATATCACACTGCCTCTCGTGTGATATTGCTCATATATATATATATATATATATATATATATATATATATATATATATATATATATATATATATATATATATATATATATATAAATAAATAATCAGTATAGGTTACATTTAAAATATACATTTATATTATTTCATAGAATAAATCACGTTTTGGACAATTTTCATTTTACACTGCTAGGTTTCCGCTACATTCATTCTTTCATGGTAGGCACCACACCAAAATGCACCCCTCTGAGGCTAGATTTCAGCTTCTCATTCAAAACATTCAGGTATTGTTGTTGTCGTTTTTAAAAGAGTCATAATTGCACCAATATGTATTAAAAGGTGAGCGAATTATAACAGTTGACAGGTGCGTGATGCGTAAGGCCAGCAAACATGGCGTAACTTTTAGTTAGAATGAACACAGTTTCCATAATTATTTATTAATTTATAGATAAAAAAAAAGACTATTTTTCTGCATACAATGACTTTATTTTGCTGGAGTTTAGAGCCATTTCACTTTACTTCAGGACACAAATGCCGCTTTAGTCTGCTGGAGACATTCATAAATATTCCTAGCAAATCTAATAAATACTAGTTACATAAACACACTTAAAAAAAAAAACAATAAATTTCACCCTTCAGCAGCATTTATTTGAGAGCGCACAAGAAGATATGCGCTTGAGCAGTGTATATTTGAGGGTGTGCAAGAGGTTTTGTGCACAAGCAGAGAAAAATCGGCGTGCAAGCAAAAAGATTGGCATACTCGTATTACATAAATGCGATCGCGACTTGTAATACTGCGCTCATGACATTTCTCCATTGAATTGAAATAACACCATAGGTAGTTGGTAGATTTGTGTAAAAGGTCTGCCACCAAAGCAGGAAAAAATCCTAGAGGAAACACTGCACTGTTACAGTAATTCATAATACCATTTACAGTAACTTACTGGTAGCAGTTTGCCAGTAAATTACTGAAAATTATTTACAGCAAAAATATTGTATTTACATTTACTGCACTATTTATCTTGCTGGACATGTATTTACAGAATTACAAGTACCTTTACTGTAAAATATACAACAATTTTCACAATGCAACTGTAAACTAACATACTGCTCAACTCTCCTACAATAAAATGCAGCTCAAATTACAGTGTAATTAACAAAAAGCTTTAACAGTGTATACTATTAAATACTATTATATCAGCAGCCTTTATCTGAATACTAGCAGTAAACCGCAGATCTTCTGATTCCTGTCTGCAAACCAGCACAACACAATCTTTAACCCCAGTAACTGGGCACATCAACCCAAAGGGCCTAACAGAAGGGAAATAATCCCTCCCCACCCTGAGGGCTAACTCAGCACAACAGCATTGTGTCAGCCAGTCGCACACTTCCTAACAACATCCAGAGCTCCAGGGGTCAGCTTCCTGCAAGAGCTCCAAAGCCTTCTGAAATGCACAGAAATATAGGAGTGGTGTTAAACCAACATCCTCTAGAATGCGAAAGAAAAAAGGGAGAACCATGTCTGCTAGATAAATGCGCTCTATCCTAGAAAGTAGATTTCTGTGAGCTAAAGTAAAGCTTTTTAAAGGGTTAGATCATGCGAAAAATGAAAATTCTATCATCATTTACTTACTTGTAAATTTGACCAACAGTAAAAATGACAAACTGTACCTCTTCCCAACAGGAAAACCAGATAAGAAAACAACTTATTGGCCAATACAATGCTGCTGCTGACTATGAGTGAATTAAAAACTACTTTAAAAAAGACGATGTTGGCAATGTGTTTTTCAAAACAAGTGTTTTTTCTACTGTCACAAAAAAAATAGCAATTTCAAGATGATTTTGAAAAAAAAAAATTTTAGATTTTATACTGTTTTCTGCAATTAGTTATTGGTCAGAATTATTAGCTCCTTTTGAAATATTTTCCAAATGATTTTAACAGAGCAAGGAAATTTTCACAGAATGTCTGATAATATAGACTTTAGTCTAGAATAAAAGCAGTTATTAATTTTTTAAAAAACATTTTTGGGACAAAATTATTAGCCCCTTTAAGCAATTTTCTTTCCCATAATCTACAGAACAAACCGTCGATATACAATAACTTGCCTAATTACCCTAACCTGCCTAGTTCACCTTAATAACCCAGTTAAGCCTTTAAATGTCACTTTAAGCTGTATAGAAGTGTCTTGAAAAATATCTAGTAAAATATTACTTGGTCATCATGGGAAAGATAAAATAAATCAGTTATTAGAAATATGTTTTTAAAACTATTATGATTAGAAATGTGCTGAAACAATCTTCCCTCCGTTAAACAGAAATTGGGAAAAAAAATAAATAAACAGGGGCGCTAATAATTAAGGGGGGCTAATAATTCTGACTTCAACTGTGTGTGTGTGTGTGTGTGTATATATATATAAAATGTTGTCTGTGTATATAAACACACACACATACATACTGTGTGTGTGTGTGTGTGTGTATATATATATATATATATTTTTTTTAATATATATATATATAAAATGTTGTCTGTGTATATACACACACACACACATACATACTGTGTGTGTGTGTATATATGTTTGTATGCATGTATGTATGCATGTATGCGTATGTATGTATGTATGTATGTATATATATATATATATATATATATATATATATATATATATATATATATATATATATATATATATATATATATATATAAATATAAAATTTAAATTATGAATTGTTGGTAGGATCGGTTTATTTGAATGACTTCATACTGCACAATATATCGTTTTAACATCGATATCGCAATGTGAACATTCACAATAGTCACGTCGCCATACCTGACAACACTCAACAACATCTGACAACCCATTTTTACCAGCAGTCTCCTGTATTTCAGTTCTCAACTGTGTTATTCAAACAAACACACACCGCCACCACTCGTGTTACGTCATGCGTATCTTTTTTTTCCGTTACGGTGATTGCAGTGTTTGTGTTGTCAAGACTACTACGGAGTCTTTTGAAGATGGAGGAGAGATTTGCTGTTTTGAGTTATCCGGTGCTGTATGAATTACTAATCTTAAATATCACAATATTATTACATTTTAACATCATATTATTATTAACAGCAACACTCGCGAACAATATGCAGCCGATTTAGGCGTTGCCTAGCAACATTTATTTATTTATTTTTTAATAAGAGTAGCGC